GAAAAATTGAAAAATTAAAAACGGAAAATTCTTGAAATTAAAATTGAAAAAATTGCAAATCAAAAATTGGAGAAACGAAAATATGAAAAATTCAGGAACTGAAAAATTTTAAGTTAAAAAGTAGAAAAATTGAACACTGAATATGTAAATGCAAATCGAAAAATTGAAAAATCCAAAAAGTGAAAAATTTGACCTTGACAGAAAAATGAAGAAAATGAAAAATCTAAACAAAAAACTGTAGAAATAAAAAATTGATTAATATAAAAATTGAAAATAGAAACATCCAAAAGTTTCAAAATCGGAAAACCGAAAAATTTTAAAATGAAAACTCAAAGATATAAACAGTATATAGAAAAATTGAAGAACCGAAAAATTGTAAAAATCAAGAAAACAAAAAACCGAAACAAAAAATTACAAATCGAAAAATTGAAGAAATCAAAACTGAACAATTAAAAATTGGTGAAAAATTGAGAAATTTAAAAATTAAAAATGGAAAACTCGTGAAACTGCTAATCGAAAATTGGAAAATCCAGATCAGAAAACTGAAAAATTTTAAAACGAAAACTCGAAGACGTGAAAATAGAAAAATTAAAGAAACGAAAAATGGAAAATTTCAGGGACTGAAAAATCTAAAGTTAAAAAGTTGAAAAATTGAAAACCGAAAAATTGCAAATCGAAAAATTGAAAAATTCAAAAAGTGAAAAAATTGACATGGGCAGAAGGAAAAATAAAGAAAATGAAAAACACAAACGAAAAATTGTAAATCGAAAAACAATAGAAATGAAAAACTGATTAATCTAGAAATTGAAAAATTAGATATTGAAAATTCGTGAAACCGTAAATCAAGAATTGGAAAATCCAAAAATAGAAACATCCAAAAGTTTGAAAATCGGAAAACTGAGAGATTTTAAAATGAAAACTTGAAGACGCGAAAATAGAAAAATTGAAGAAACAAAAAATTATTACAAAATCAAGAAAATTAAAACCGAAACAAAAAATTACAAATCCAAAAATTGAAGAAATCAAAAATGAAAAGTTAAAACTGAAAATTCTGAAATTGGAATTAGACAAATTGCAAATCAAAAATTGAAGAAACGGAAATTGAAAAATTTGAAACCGAAAAATTGAAAATCGAAAAATTGAAAAATCGAAAAACTAAAAAATTATACATTAACAGAAAGAAAAATAGAGAAAATGAATAACTTAAATAAAAAACTCCAAATCGGAAAACTGTAGAAATGAAAAACTGAACAATCTAAGAAGTGAAAAATTAAAAATTGAAAGCTAGTGAAAATTGTAAAATCCAAAAATAGAAACATCCAAAAATCGGAAAATTGGAAAATTTGAAAATGCAAACTCGCACGTGTGAAAATCAAAAAATTGAAGAAATGAAAAATTGAAAAATCTAAAAATTGAAAATTGAGAAACTGAAAAATCTAAAGCAGGAACGTTGAAAAATTGAAAACCCAAAAACTGCAAATCGAAAAATTGAAAAATTTCCATTGACAGAAAGAAAAATAAAGAAAACAAAATAAACGAAAAACTGCAAATCGAAAAACTATAAAAATCAAAAATTAATTAATCTAAAATTGAAGAAACAAAAAATTACAAATCGAAAAATTGAAGAACTCAGTACTGAAAAGTTAAAATTTGAAAATTCGTAAAATTGCATTTAGAAAAATTACAAATCAAGAACTGAAAAATCCAGTTGAAAAGTTGAAAACCGAAAAATTGCAAAACGAAAAACATGAAAAATTTTACAGTGACAGAAAGAAAATGGAAAACCTAAATGAAAAATTGCAAATCGAAAAACTATAAAATGAAAACCTGAATAATCTAAAAATTGGAAAATTAAAAATGGAAAACTTCTGAAACTGCTAAACGAAAATTGGAAAATCCAAACTGGAAAATGTGAAAATAGAAAAATTGACGAAACGAAAAAAAGTAGAGTCAAGAAAATACAAAGCCGAAACAAAAAATTGCAAATCAAAAACTGATGGAGCGAAAAATTGAAAAATCGAGAAACTAAAAAATCTAAATTTGAAAAGTTGAATACATAATTGAAAATCGAAAAATCAAAACCTAAACGAAAAACTCCAAATCGTAAAATTGTGAAAAATTGAATATTCGAAAATTTGAAAATTTAAAAATTCAAAACTCGTGAAATTGCAAAATCCAAAAATTGAAACATCCAAAAGGTGGAAAATCGGAAAATTTTAAAATGAAAACTGGAGGACGTGCAAATCGAATAATTGAAAAACGAAAAATTGTGATAATAAAGAAAATAAAAACCCGAAACGAAAAATTTCAAATGAAAAAATTGAAAATTTCACATCGATAAAAAGAAAAATAAAGAAAATGAGAAACCGAAACGAAAAACTTCAAATCGGAAAATTGTGAAAAACTGAATATTCGAAAATTTGAAAAATTAAAAATTGAAATTGCAAATCGAAAATTCCAAAATCCAAAAATTGAAACATCCAAAAGTTGGAAAATCGGAAAACTCAAAAATTTTAAAATCGAATAATTGAAGAAACGGAAAAGTGTAATTAATAATGACGAAGATAAAAAACCGAAACGAACTAGTATAAACATTGTAAATGACATTCTTGTTATCTCTTTATAGTTTGACGATGTAAAATGTGTGTACATTTAAGCACAATAAATTGATTCATTGATTGATAAAAATTGAAAAATTAAATTACAAATGGAAAATTGCAACATCCAAAAGTTGAAAAATCGGAAAATCGAAAAACTGAGGAAACGAAAAATTCAAAAAATTGAAATAAAAAAACCCAAAAACTATAAAATCGGAATTGAAAAATCGAAAAATTCTAAAAATAAAGAAAATAAAAAACCGAACCCAAAAACTGCAAATCGAAAAACTGAAGAAACGAAAAAATTAAAAATTGAAAAATTGAATAATTTAAGTCAAAAAAGTTTTTACTTTGTAGAGGTTATCAGGAAACAAAAATGGCAAAAAATATTTCACACTTAGCAATATTCTGATGACGTCATCAGTTTCTCCTAGGCAATGAACGAACAAATTCTGAACTTTTTAAAAAATCTTTCCTTGCTTCAAGTATCGGAAAAGACAGAAGATCTCGTTTAGTAATCTCGTACCATGAATAAAACCCCCACTTTCTATAATGAAAACTCGTTTCCCCAAACCACCTTCCCACACACTTTTAACTCGAACAAATCCTTCTCGGTATCCAATTTCATAACGAAATCCCTCTTCGAATCCTCTCATTTCACAAGTTTCCTCTCTCGAACGCACCACGCAAACCCCTTTAATTAATATCCGAGATATTTATAACCCGTTTCTATTATTCTTCATGTAGAGCGCAATGAAAGTCCATTGTGAAAGAACACAATTCGCCTTTTAAGAGCCATTGTTTTCATTCTTCGCTGCCTCACTTGTTTTCATTTTTACGTCTCGCTTGGTAAATCCACTACTCAGAAGCTGATTTCGCGAATTCCGCAAGCCGCTTTAAAAAAAACACCTATTTACTTAGCGCATCCGTACTTAGTCTTCTATTCTCGTCCGAGCTTAAAAAAACCCACTATTTTAATTATCGTCTTATCTATACTTAAATTGCGATAACGCAGTTCCCCGTAAATTGTCACTATCGACTACTACTAACATTTTTATCAAACCTACCGCTTGTCAGAACATGCTTTGATAAAACGATTTTTTCGACCGAGCTATACAGGATGTCTCATATTTCTCGAGAATCCGCGGGGATTTATTCAACTACATAATAGTTGCAATGAATTAAATAAAATCAATTCGAAAATAAGTAATTCACGCGTTTTTTCTCCCCTCCACGTCAAAACCGCTTTTAAGAATTTTCGATGTGCAATAATAAATATTTATTAAACACGTTTATCACGATTTCATCACCTCGCGATTTATTTTTACTCCAACAACTCAATTCTGGAAATATTAATTCTATTAATAACGTCGGAAGCCGGCCGCATTTTTCGCAAAGGTGTTGACGGGAGGGCTTAAAATAGGAGCGCGGAGGACGCAGAGGAGGGTCTTAGCGCGTAAACACGGCTTTGGATACGCAGGGGCAAGCCACGCCTCCCGAACGTGATGAAACTCCGCCTTACTGTAAAAATCGGCTACTGTTGGCGCGACCTACGTGATATCGAACAAAGGAACGCAGAAAAGTGTGGAATTTCGTTGGGGAAAAATTTCTGCGGCTGCTTTATTGTGTGCGAAGCGACTAAAACCGCAATTTAATATCTTCTGATTCCGGGTAGAATGCGCATTCTGTTGACGCAAGAAATGTTACGTACGCATAAAGAGTAAAATGGAATAATCGGAGTTGAAGGGGCTTCGAGTGACCACAGGTTGTAGTGTAGGCCAATGCGGTTTTTTTTAATGACTAAGTAATTGATCATTATGGTAATTCAGCTGTGGTTACTTATCAAACGATAAGAAAGCCTTTTTTGATAAACTTGTAGGTAAATAGCCGGGTGTCGTCAATGTAAACAACGAAGCGAGAAAGTTTGGCGTCGAAGAACTTCGACAAGATAAAAAGCAGGGGTCATTACTAGGACCTATGTTATTTTTGGTTTATGTTGATGATGTGTCTATCGTAATTCCATCGCACCCTGCGATCATACATTAGGTTTGACGTCTGACTCTCTTCATGACGCGCCGCGATGTAGAGTCGCGTCCGTTCAATACCGTCCACGTGTCATCGCTGACGTCACGCCGCCGTTGCCAAATCTCTCTCGTGTCAACATTTTTAGAACCTCTGCTTACGCGAGTTGTGGGTCTAACCCGCGGCTAAATATATACATATATACGTACCTTCTACGAACTAGGATTCCCTGAAATACTCCAGCCGGCCCCCTCCACTCGCAGCCTGGTTAGCGTGAAGTGAAAACACGTTTTATCATTCCCAGAAGGCTGCGCACTCTCCGTCTCTTTCTAGTCCACTCGTGGCCCCGCTGGTCCTTGTTTAAACGTCGTAACAACTGAACGTCGATCGGACACTGTCGTCGGCGCTTTGCTCGCACACATCTCGCATTCAGGCGGCAGCCGTAGCAGAGAGCAGTAGTGCTTGATCAATAACATAACCTAAAAATTGTAACAAAAGTCTGAAGTTGGCCTAGACTGGAACAATCGCAGTGTGCTGTATGAAATTATGTGCACGAGTGGTGTTTGGTGCGATTATCGGACTAGTGTTGGAAGTGTCTCCAGTGCCTTTATGGATTACCCACGATGTTGATGGTGTCCTTAAGGATTAGATTAGGTAATTAGCCGTTTTTTCCGGAGGAATTCTCGCCGGGCACGCCTTCTAGATGCGGACAATGACAGAATTCGTAACGCACATGTTACGACACAGTGTAAATGACCCTGAAATTCTCTTCGTTAATGAGAAATCATTATCTGTTTTGATTTTCTTGCGCTTATCGCGCTCTATTTTTAACCCCAAAACAAATGAATGGGACGTGATTCTAGCCACTACCAAAAACAAAAATCGACGCCCACTCGATCGCGTGCTGCTATTTCCAGGCCCGTAAACACGACGTACGCTTTTCGGGAAAACCTCTAAATTTGAATTTCCACGTACTTGCAGCGGTTGAATTATTTATGGGCTTCTGGGGAAATATGTGACCCAGGACTCAAAAATCCTCTTCCGAGTACTTCTTTTCCATACCATTTATTGTTACATAAAAAGCTACAAATCTATTTCTTTTCGCATGAATAATGCATGACGTGCCGGTGCTGGATGAATGCTAATTATGTTTTGTGTCGAGCGTTATTTCCATAACGGGCCCGCGGATTAAAAAATTCTCGGGCCCATTCATACCATTGGCGTCTGAACGAATCGGGAAAACCCGCGCAGATTCTTCCATCGAGAGGCGAAATTTTCGCGCCGAATACCACCGGAGCATCTCGCGACGACCGAAAAATTATACAAGCGAGGTTCAACGGCCTCTTCCTTCCGGCTTTTTTGAATCACAAGACTAATTGCTTCTTTATTACTACACACAGTACGGTAAACTTATTCATATTTTCGTGTCAAGTTTACCCAACAATAACCGACGGATGTTTCACTCCGTCATTATGGTACCGTAAACCCAACATTTAGTGGAAAACCATTGTTTACAAAATAGTACTCGGAACCGACGAAATTTCGACCGGACCCGATCCTCACTTTTACCACGTCCGGAACTAAAAATAACGACAATGCACTAAAATATTAGTACATGGTCACATTCTGCTCGAAATTGTCTTTCCAACGAAGGCTGCCCCAAATTTTTATCGTGCACGGTAGCCGAGATAACGCTTTTCGCAGTTAGGGACCTATCGAAAAGTGCCAAATTTGCGTTTTCCCCTAAAAAATGAATTTCCCTCAAATCGAAGAAAAATCCACCCTAGACCCACTTAAAGTACACACTTGGAGCTTTAAAACAAGCACACAATCATCCCCCAGGGATCAGTAGTTTCCGAAATACAGACCCGTCTTTCGGGGCTACGCATGCGCACGATTACAATTTTTTGCAAGCCCACTTTGACCCGTTATAACTCGAGTTCCATGCACCCTACGAAAAAAATGCTCATGACGTCGTTTGAAGTAGACAACCTGGCAAGTCTAACGCGTCTGAAACCAAACTCCTCCGACGGGTAGTTTCCAAGCTACGGCCCGTCAAACTACGGTCTGCATTACCCCAAAAACGACAACAATCTCAGCCGTGTTTTTTCGCCAGGTGAATGACAACTGGGAAGGGTGCTGTAAACCACGAAATCTCAAGTGTCTCAGTATCAGCTGCGTGTATTTCACAAGGTTCCGTTTTTGATAAACCCGAATTGAGTCTACTCGGAAATCGACACTCGCTATCAAACCGCCATCAACAATGTTTACGATAATTTAAATGGCTGTTGGCTTATAAGGAGCGGCCGCTCTTGTCTCGTTCCTGCTTTTTTGTTTATAATTTGAGATCGCTTAATAGCCGCACTACAAAAATAACCCCATAAAACTCATGTTTTACAAATACCAGAAATACAACACCGTTGTCGGAACGCGCACTGATAACCGCCTAATGAATCGCTTCGTGGAAGCGTCCAATTCAGTCGGAAAAGCTTTTGTAACGCCAAAAGTATGCACAGTTGCAGGTATTTCCGGATAATCGTTGTAGAAAATAGTTCCGTGGAACTCAGGCTCGTTAAAGCCGACTTGGGACATTAGTTTGGGTTTTTCTCCTCGGTAATTGGTTTGAAACAACGGAAAAATTCGTCTTCTCCGGGGTCCGGACTTCATCGGCGTCCCGCAAGGGTCCGCTTCGGGACCGCTGTTTTCCGCGCGGAAAGCGCCCGTGAAAGCGCGAGATTCCGAGTGGGCGTAGAAAGCGACGGAGGTTATCCGTCGAAAGGAACAGGTTCGTTCCGAGAATGATCAACTCGGCCGTGGATAATCGTTCCTCCGAAGTGATTTTCACGTTGCAAGGCTGCAACAATTAAGACTGTTAATTAGAAAGAGCCTAGAAAGCAGCAACAATCGGATCTATTTGCGGTTTCTGTTATTTAACAGCGCAACCTTGGCGGGGGTAATCAAAATTGCCGAGGTCGGTGCTTCGATAAACAACTTGTTCGCGGACAAATATTTGCGCTAAGAAATTTGCTGAAAAACTTGGAAATTTTGGCGTCCGCCGAAAAAACTCCATTAGCATGGGCTGGTTCAACAAGTTTGATCCGAGAGACGGGAAATCGATGGCTATTTTCGTGCGCGCCATCCTAGTTCGCTTTCTCCGGAAAATGGGAAACGTCGATTCTGGCGTGCAGATGGTGCAAGGTCAACGACTTGGAGGAAAATAAAAAAGCGGCGATAAAGAGTAAAACACACAGAATGCGATTTCGGGAATCGCGCGAGTTAAAAGTATCAATTAGCGCGTCCGAAACATTTTAATGCTAATTTTGCCTCGAACGCGAATCAAAAGATGCCAATTTTTAGTATAGTGGCAGGAATGGAGTTGTGCGGGTGGCGCTCTAAGCAGGGTTGGTCGCTAATGCCTGCCACGCCTCGTATCTGTATTCGTTGGGCCTCCGCGTAGAGCACTCCCACCCACAGAGGTCCATTATCTCGACTGTATTTTGTACTGTGCGTTGGCCATATAGATGTGCGTGATAGGTCTGAAGCAATTACGGTGTAATCAGGACTGTTGCATAAACTTTGTTTCCACTGTACTTTTAAAGTATCAGCTTATATGTGTTTTTTTAATTGAAGGCCACAAAAAAACACGAGGATATGAAAGTGAGTCAAGAGACACCGATTTGTTCAAAATGACACAATAGACGTGACCCTCAAACTCCTACGAACAAATTTTTGGAAATTCGGACTTTTTGAAACAAATTTTGTACTCTAACTCCGTTCCTGTACATCTGACACAAAAACTTATTTAGCACCATTCAAAGTAGACAATTTGAGCAAAACAATGACGCTCAAACCAAATTCCTACGATGCTTAGTTTCCAAAATACAGCGCGTCAAAGTGGGTGTGCAACTGCGTCAAAATTAATCTTGTCGCCAGTTTGTTTATTGGAACGTAACTTTGGTTGTGGTTAAGCTACGTTAAAAATGTTTACACTAAATGAAAGAGGACATTGTAGAGTACGCCTTGAGTTAAAACGAAACGTTTGCTGCTATTTGCAGTACCCCAAATGGGGGCCCCAATTTTTTCATTTTCGCTTGCCTTGAATTTTGACTTCGGCGTCAGCTGCAACTATCCCCTATAGCCCGATTCGTGTACTTCCAACGAAGAAACTGTAAATGAGAGACTTAGAGTAGACGATTTTACGAAAACAACAACGCGAAAACCAAATTCGTACGATATTCAGTTTGCAAAATATAGCACTTCAAAGTTGGGTGTGCCATTGCGCCAAAATTAATTTTATTGTGCAAGTTTGGTTATTAGAACGTAACTTTTTTTGTGGTTACGCTGCATGAATATTTTTTACACCAAATGAAAGAGGGCGTCGTGGAGTACCACCAAAGTTAAAACGAAACGTTTGCTGCTATTTTTAGTACCCAAAGTGGGAGCCCCATTTTTTGTTCCTCGCCTGTCTTGAATTTTGACATTGGTAGAAGCTCCAAAATACCCCTATAACTCAATTTGAGTGATATTTTCGTCACATTACGACAATCTAAACCGCCGGATTTGTGCGACGGCATTGTTTGCAAAGTAGTACTTCGGTACCGAGAATCGACGTGCGTCAAAATTCAGACTCGGGCCTTGGCCTATATTTGCCTTTTTGACGATTTCGTGTAATGTGTAGTCCGAGGTACCTGATTCGTCTAAACAATGGTACTCTTGGGCCCCGATTTTTTGTTGCCATCCGCACTTTCGTCGCCGCCCCTCCCCGCTCGACCTTCCGCGAAATTGGATCCTGCGAGCGCTTGACCTTCCTCAGACAAAGCCTCTTGAGAGCAACAAAGTTTCTGGGCAACAGCTTTGTTGCATATTCCGCGAACGCGGTCCGATCAGACTTCTGGGAACCGGCAGGCATCTGCTCTTGCGTCTCTGTCGCACCTATGGGTCGAAAAAGCGCACACCTGCAGACGTCTTACCGGGAACTCGCCCATGCCGCCGAATCCATCCACAGGAAATGGTCCGAATGGCTGGGCAGATTTATGTTTGGTGCAGGGGTATTCAACAGGTGAAGCCGTGAGATCACCGGTGTTTGCTGTGCGAATTTGCGCTTGCGGTGGCTTTTCTGGGGAAGAGGTGATGGGAGGTTAGTGGGTTTCTAAATTTAGACGTGCGATCAAGAATCGCCGATTTGTAATTATCGATTTAACGGAGCGCACACACCTAGGGAATCGTTGGTAGCCTTCGTGCGATAAGGAAAATCGTGAGGATTACTCACGGGTTGCCGGAAAAGCTACTTGCGTTTGTTTATCTTTATTAGGTCCTGATTCACTTTTTTAGATAAAGTTCGAGAGATTATTCGACCGCAAGAATTTCGAGTACCGGTTCACGGTGTATATGGGTTTTTTCGACGTCCGGATGCAGCATTCGTGTGGAACATGTCTTTGTTTTACGCTGGCGTGAACTTGGAATCAATGGGATTTGGTTTAAGTACCGCCATTGTTCCGGGATTGGTAGATTCACACGACTAAAGCATTCATGAGACGCTTTACAATTCACATTAGCTTACAAAGTACTTGGCACCGTCTTAGCATAAGCTTGGCGATGCACGTGTGTCGTACTAAACTTGTTAAGGTACCACCCGCGGAGGGTACTTTCAACTC